CAGTATATTTTTCCCCTCTCGTTCTCTTCAAATTAAGTAGGGACATGTGTGTTCCAGTGCGGTTTTGGTGCGTTTTTGATGCGTTTTATCACGTTACAGTAAAGTTCTGTGCAGAAAAAATGCAGCTTGTTCTACTTTTTTTTCTGCATCCGGAACGCACTGGAACTGCAAGCTCTGATGTGAACTATGACACTGACCACCATATCACCTACTTTCTGTGCGTTTTTGATGCATTTTACTGCGTTCCAGTACACTTCTGTAAAGAAAAAATGAAGCCGGTTCTACCTTTTTTTTTCTGCATCCGGAACGCACTGGAACTGCGAGCGCTGATGTGAACTATGACAACGACAACCACACCAGAGAAATGCAGTCCAGATGTGTTCCGTGTGCATTTCTGAATGTGCATTTTTGGCGCATTCCGCTGCATTTTTTATGTGTTTTTGATGCATTCCAGTTCATTTTCCCCCTCTCGTTCTTTTCAAATTAAGTAGAGGCATGCGCGTTCCGGTGCATGTTTGATGTGTTTTACCGCGTTCCAGTACAGTTCTGTGCAGAAAAAAATGCAGCCTGTTCTACCTTTTTTTTTCTGCAACCGGAACGCACTGGAACTGCGAGCGCTGATGTGAACGATGACAACGACAACCACTCTATAGAAACGCAGTCCAGATGTGTTCCGTCTGCATTTCTGAATGTGCGTTTTTAGCACATTTTTGGTGCATTCCGGTGCGTTTATAATGCGTTCCAGTTAATTTTTCGCCTCTCGTTCTCTTCCAATTAGGTAGAGGCATGTGTGTTCCAGTGCGGTTTTTGATGCGCTTTACTGCGTTCTAGTACAGTTCTGTGCAGAAAAAATGCAGCCTGGTCTACTTTCTTTTTCTGCATCCGGAACGCACTGGAATGCGCGTTTTTAGCACATTTTTGGCGCATTCCGGTGCGGTTTTTTATGTGTTTTTGATGCATTCCTGTTCATTTTTCCCCTCTCGTTCTCTTCAAATTAAGTAGAGGCATGTGCGTTCCAGTGCATTTTTGGTGCGTTCCGGTGCATTTTTGATGTGTTTTATTGCGTTCCAGTACAGTTCTCTGCAGAAAAAAATGCAGCCTGTTCTACATTTTTTTTTTCTGCATCCGGAATGCACTGGAACTGCGAGCGCTGATGTGAACGATGACAATGACAACCACTCTGTAGAAACGCAGTCCAGATGTGTTCCGTCTGCATTTCTGAATGTGCATTTTTAGCACATTTTTGGCACTTTCCAGTGCGGTTTTTTTTATGTGTTTTTGATGCATTCCAGTGCGTTTATAATGCGTTCCAGTTCATTTTTTCCCCTCTCGTCGTCTTCAAATTTAGTAGGGGCATGTGTGTTCCAGTGCGCTTTTGGTGCGTTTTTGATGCATTTTACCGCGTTCCAGTACAGTTCTGTGCCGAAAAAATGCAGTCTGTTCTTTTTTTTTTCTGCAACCGGAACGCACTGGAACTGTGAGCATTGATGTGAACTATGACACTGACAACCATATCACCTACTTTCTGTGCGTTTTTGATGTGTTTTACCGCGTTCCAGTACACTTCTGTGCAGAAAAAATGCAGCCCGTTCTACTTTTTTTTTCTGCATCCGGAACGCACTGGAACTGCAAGCTCTGATGTGAACGATGACACTGACAACCAAATAACCTACTTTCTGTGCGTTTTTGATGCAGTAAAAAAGCAACTGAAACTCATTTAGTGTGAACTGGCTCTCAGGGCCGGTTCACACTATAGAAATGCAGTCCAGATGCGTTTATGTATGCACAGTTTTGATGCGTTTTTGACGCGTTCCAGTGCGTTTTTATGCATTCAAGTTCATTTTTTCCCCTCTCTATTTCTTCAATTTAAATAGGGACATGTGTGTTCCAGTGTGTTTTTGGTGCGTTCCAATGTGTTTTACCGTGTTCCAGTACAGTTCTGTGCAGAAAAAAAAAATGCCGCGTGTTCTACTTTTTTTCTGCATCCGGAATGCACTGGAACTGCAGACACTGATGTGAACTATGACATTGACAACCACATCACCTACTTTCTGTGCGTTTTGGATGCAGAAAAAATGCAACTTATACGCATGGAGTGTGAACTGGCCCTTCAGGGTAGTTGTAGACATGCGTCTAATGCAGGCCGTAGATGGGTCAAACGTTGACCGATTTTAAATTAAAAAGAAAAAGAAAAATCGGTCATTCGATCGGCCGACGTTACCACCAACGTTAAAAAAAATCGGCCGACTAAATCATTAAGTTCACCCGATAACCTCTGTCCCTTGCAGGTCACGGCTCATGCTCGGATTTTTTTATCGGTAAAACGATCGGCTGGTTTGCCCATCATTGCCCGGAAAATAGTCCAAATCGGCCACAAATTTTCCAACATGACTGATAAAAAAACTGTAAAACGGCAAAAAACCCAAAAAACGGCTGACCAATTACCCCACTAACAGTGAGAAAATCAGCCGATTTTTTTTTTTTCGGACAAAAAAATCGGCCGATTTTCGACCCATCTATGGCCGGCATAAGGCCGGCCATACATAGGTCAAAGTTCGACTGATTTTCAGACCTAAGAATAATCGGCTGATTTTCGCTCTGTTAGTGGGGTCAATGGCATTTTTTCGTTGTTCCGTGGTTTTCGTGGTTCCTCCCCTTTTCAGTGATTGGGCATGTTGGAAAATTCGTGAAAAACGACCGATTTTCCACTCAGTGATGGTCAAATCGTACGATCATCTTTCCGGAAAGAATATGCGCCATGAGCCGTGACCTGGAAGGAACAGAAGTGTCGCCTGTTATATGGGGGGAACTTTACGACTTGGTTTTCGAAATCATTGATGGCGCCATCGGATTACCGAGCGAACAACGTTTCCGATTTTCGGTCAAAAAATCGTTTGGAATTTGAACCATGGCCGGCATTAATCTCCATTTCCCTGAAGCCCGATCTGCATTCGGATGGCGTTTCGGAGGCGACTGACAGGCGGTGAGGAAGCGATGAAACCCCTTCGCTGCACATCATCAAGCATTGCCCCCCCCATGGATGCGCAGCGTTCGGGGGGCTTGCCACCCATTGATCTCTACACGCCGGGTAAACTTTGCAATGGAAGCATCACATCCGCGGCATGTAAACACCCCTGCCTGCCGCCTAAATCAGCTTGGGAGGGGGGGGGGGTGGTAGCTGGCTGGTTGAGCTGCGTTTTTTCTGCCCCCAACAAAAAAAAAAAACGTAGCTTGTTTGATGCAGCATGAATGTACGTGCAATCAGGGCCATGAATAAGGAGGTACCACCAGTCCTTCTGTATGGGGCCCAGCAGGGGCGGACTGGCAACTCATGGGGACCCCAGGCAATAGGGGATCATGGGGCCCCAGTGTCCTCACCCCCACACCCACCCAAAACAGCCTATGAAAGGTACCAGGGGCATCTCATGGGGCTCCCTACTGACCCCGGGCCCTCAAGCAGTGCCTGAGCTTTGGTATGGTCAGTCCACCCCAGGGGCCCAGGCAGGCAGGGGGGCGAATTGGATGTGGGCAGGGAGGGTGATTGGCACAGAGGGGCAGTTACTGGAACCGATCCCCTGTATGGCTCCCCTGCAGCAGCTGCAAGCTGGCTTCTTCTCCATTCCCTCCTGTTGGCTTCCAGCTGCTGCAGAGAGAGCCATACAGGGGATCGGTTCCAGTAACTGCCCCCCCCCTTGCCTCACCCATCACCCTCCCTGCGCACCATGCATTTCCCCCTGCCCCCCCCCCCCCCCCCCGTGTTCCCCCACAGTGCTGCCGGCTCCCCTCCTCTCCTTCCCACCGGCAGCTACAAGCACACAATAGGATCCTTCAGGATGGAGAGTGGGGGAAGGGTCCGGTAACTACGTCACCTTTATAAGCCCCCTTTCTTTCCTGAACGAACACAATAAGCGATCGGTACCAATCACTCACTGTGTTCATTCATAACTGAAATATAGCAAATTGTGTTTTTTTTTTTTGAAGGGGGGGGGGGATCTATCAGGTTGGCTGTATGGGGCCCCGCGGTTTCTACCAGCAGCCCTGTGTGCAATGCGTCTGAATCCCGTACAGCGCGTTAAAGGCGGCATTAAAACTCGGCGCCTATGCGAACTTCGCCTGAATATTCTGTTTAATTTTTTTTCCCAGTCCAACTGGTAAAAGAAGAACAGGGATAAGCCTGGTTGCTATGGGCAGCGGATCAGAGTTGCCGATGGCGCAACTCAGGCGCCGTGAACAGAACACAATGAGCGATCGGTACCAATCACTCACTTTGTTCATTAAAGTGAAATATAGCAAATTGTGTTTTTTTTTTTTTTTGGAGGGGGGGGATCTATCAGGTTGGCTGTATTGGGGCCCCGCGGATTCTAACAGCAGCCCTGCGTGCAATGCGTCTGAATCCCGTACAGCGCGTTAATGGCGGCACTAAAACTCGGCACCTATGCGAACTTAGCCTGAATATTCTGTTGATTTTTTTTTTCCAGTCCAACCGGTAAAAGAAGAACAGGGATAAGCCTGGTTGCTATGGGCAGCGGATCAGAGTTGCTGATGGCGCCGCAAACAGAACCGGGAGATTTCGGTAGACCCTCCGGCGGTTGCCGTGGGTTACGGCCCTTTGCACCCCCCCATTGCTCTTTGCCCTGCCTTATTAAACAAGCCAGTATGTGTCGTGATGATCTGGAACAAGTGTCAGCGTTAACCCCTTCCATCCATTTCATTTTTTTTTTTTTCTTCCTCCGCTTCCCGTCCTGAGCGATTTCATGGCTCCCCGCCGCACCTGTCAGCGTGCCTGTTCATCCATGCTGGCATGTGTCAGGCCGAGTGTCTATTACCTGTGCCCCCTGCATCCCTGCCCACCCTCCCCGCTCTCCCCCCCCCCTCCTCCTCCTCTCTCCCCCTCTCTCATTTCCCATTCTCTTTGTAATCCCTCGCTCCCTTCGGCGTGGGTGACATCAATGTGTCTCCTCCCCCCTTGCTCCCTCACTCTCTCTCCCTCTCTCGCTCCCTCTCTCCATCCCTCTGTCGCTCTCTCTACACTGCAGAATCCAACCGTGGAATCATGCAGATGCTGCTGGTCTCCCTTGCCTCCGCCGCGGGCTGTCTCGCTCCACTGTCTCTGCCCGTCTGAGGCTACCCCCGGATTGCTGCTGCCCTTCTATCTAGACACACATATCTGTATTTCCTTTTATTTATTTCATTTTTTTATAAATCGTTCATTTTGCATCGCTTCCTCTGTCACTGCTTGCTTGCCGTCTCTTTTTTTTGCTTTTTCTCCGGCAGTCTCGATCTTTCACCCGTGCTCTCTCCCTCTCTCTCCTGTTGATTGCAGTCTATCCCATCTGCTTTGCCAATTTCTTTTTTTTTTTTTTGGAAGGTCTGTTTTGCTTTTTTTTCCCACCCATTACACCTTTGAACCCTCTTGCACTTTTTTTTTTTTTTTGGGTGTGCGTTTACAATGGTTCGCCTTGTCCCCCGTCCCTCCGGCTGGCTGTCCCTCTGCTCTCACCCCCAATGATGCCCCCTTGCTTGGTCATGTCGGTGTCACTGTTTGTGCCTGTCTTGACTCTCATGCTATGTGGTGCGGTCTCAGGTAAGAAAGCCCTGCACGTGGGCGCCCTCTTCCCCATGAGTGGGGGCTGGCCCGGGGGACAGGCCTGTCACCCAGCCGCACAGATGGCCCTGGAGGACGTCAACAACCGGAGGGACATTTTACCGGAGTACGAGCTCAGGCTGATACACCACGACAGCCAGGTGAGAGCAGGAGGTTGGGGTGATGGTGGGGCATCTTGGGGTGTAAGTGTCATCTTGGGGTGTAAGTGTCATCTTGGGGTGTAAGTGTTGGCTTCAGTGGTGACATACCATCAAGGCAGATGAAGCTGGTTTTGGATATATGTAATAAAAATGAAAAGACAGGTGGCACCGTCATAACTGTACCCAATTTCTGGAGATCGGAAAGATCTGCAGATTCCCATATCGACCAACTGTACAACAAATTCCACATTTTCTGCCGATCAGATTCAGTTCTCAATAAATATTTTTTAGTGTTCTCAAAGCTTATTTGCGTTACTTAAAAAAATGTCCTGATCTCCCTGGTCCCACATTTGGAAGGTTTGTCCTTGGAAGTGTCCCTGGTTGCCACGCTAACCAACTGCACCATGGCAATCTTTGACTGCTGGTGATATTTTCGGGGGCTCTCAAGACAAACCCTCATTCCGAGTAGGAAGTCCAAGGACTGAGGTTTAAAAAAGAAAATGATTTGTTTGCCAGTATGCTAAACGAGTCATGTATTGTTTTTAGAGTGTTCTGTAGTTTTCCAAGGCAGCAGTGCGTGTGATGAGTTTAGACACACCAGCTTAGCAGCAGAGAGTCCCTCCAAATTGTTTACAATTTCAGCCATCTATCTCCTGTATTGTACCTGTCCATTCTGAGTAAAACCATGAAAGGTCCAAGTCCCCGACAACCATCAGTGAGGTCGGTTTTTGGTAGAAGTGATTAAAGAACTTAGGTTATAGACTCAGGATCCTTAATTATGTTTGGTGAGATGATGTTTTGTAGAGGAGATTAAAGAAGTTGGGCTATAGACTCAAGACCTCTGACTACTATCAGTAAGATCAATTTTGGTAGGGGTGATTACAGAAGTTGAGCTATAGACTTAATTCCCCCCCCCCCCCACTTACAATCAGTGAGATCAATTTTGGTAGAGGACTTTAAATACGTTAGACTTTAGACTCAAGACCCCCAACTACAAACGATGAGATCAGTTTTGGTACAGAACTTTAAAGAAGTTGGACTTTAGACCCAAGACCCCCAACTACAATCGATGAGATCAATTTTGGTACAGAACTTTAAAGAAATTGGACCATAGATTCAAGACCCCCCTGATACGATCAGTAAGATCAATCTTGGTAGATTTGATTAAAGAATTTTGTCTGTAGACTCCGGACCCCTGACTAAGGTTAATGAGATCATTTATGTCAGAGGACTTTAAATAAGTTGGGTTATAGACTCAGAAACCCCCAAATACGATCAGTGAAATCAATTTTGGTTGAGGAATTTAAATAAGTTGGACTATAGACTTGAGTCCCCTGACTTAAAGTGGCAAGATCAGTTTTGGTGGAGGAGATTAAAGAAGTTGGGCTAAAGACACAAGTTTCCCGACTATGATCGGCGAGATCAATTTTGGTAGAGGACTTTAAAGAAGTTGGGCTATAGACTGAAGACCACTGTTATGATCAGTGAGATCAATTTTGGTACAATTATGTATAGAATTTGAGCTATAGACTTGAGTCCCCCTGACTACAACTGGCAAGATCGAATTTCATAGAGGAGATTAAAGAACTTGGACTATAAACTCAAGCCCCCCGATTACGATCGGTGAGTTCAGTTTTGGTAGAGTTGATTAAAGAAGTTGAGCTTGGATTAAAGAAGACCCCGGACTATAATCATTGAGATCAATTTTGGTAGAGGAGATTTAAGAAGTTGGGTATTTGAGTCCCCCGGCTATGATCTGCAAAGTCAGTTTTGATAGAGGAATTTAAGAAGGGTATAGACTTGAGTCCCCCGATTATGATCTGCAAAGTCAGTTTTGATAGAGGAGATTTAAGAAGTTGGGCTATAAACTCGATTCCCCCGTTTCTGATTTGCAAAGTCAGTTTTGATAGAGGAGATTTAAGAAGTTGGGCTATAGACTCGAGTCCCCCGATTATGATCTGCAGGATCAAGTTTGGTAGAGGAGATTAAAGAAGTTGGAATATAGACTCGAGTCCCCCCCTATGATCTGCAAAGTCAGTTTTTTTATAGAGGAGATTTAAGAAGTTGGGCTATAGACTCGAGTCCACTGATTATGATCTGCAGGATCATGTTTGGTAGAGGAGATTAAAGAAGTTTGGGATTATAGACTCGAGTCCCCGGATTATGATCTGCAGGATCAGTTTTGGTAGAGGAGATGAAATAAGTTGGGCTATAGACTCGAGTCCCCCGATTATGATCTGCAGGATCAAGTTTGGTAGATTAGATTAAAGAAGTTGGATTATAGACTCGAGTCCCCCGGCTATGATCTGCAGGATCAGTTTTGGTAGAGGAGATGAAAGAAGTTGGGCTATAGACTTGAGTCCACTGATTATGATCTGCAGGATCAGTTTTGGTAGAGAAGATTAAAGAAGTTGGACTGTAGACCCAAGTCCCCCGACTACAAATGATCAATTTTGGTAGAGGAGATTAAAGAAGTTGGACTATAGACCCCAGTCCCCCGACTACAAATGATTAATTTTTGGTAGAGGAGATTAAAGAAGTTGGACTGTAGACCCAAGTCCCCGGACTATAATCACTGAGATTAGTGTTGGTATAGCATATTGCAGACGTTGGCTATAGAATCGAGTCCCCTGACTACAATCGGTGAGATCAATTTTGGCAGAGGAGATTAAAAAAAGTTGCGCTTATCGCTTCAAGTCTCCTGACTACGATTGGCGAGATCAATTTTAGGAAAAGAGATTAACGAAGTTCAGAGGATGGGGCGGCTGCTGCTAAAAAAGTGAAAGAGACTAAATCTGACAGAGTGGGAGGGGGAGGGGAATGGGAAAAGTAACAGGAGGTGAGACAACACGAGAGAGGCAAGAGACAGCTGGAGAAGTGGGGAGAGAGACCACCATGGTGGGGGGGGCATAGAGACCGCATGAGTGACCTTTACTGAGACCCTCTCTGATGGGGAGAGAGCTCTGGGGGGGTGCAGCGAGGCTCTCTCTCACAGGATTACCCCCTGCGCTCTCATTATTCCTCTCAGCTCTCTCACTGTTACCACGGCAACGGAGGAAAGGGTAAAATATTCCGGAGAAGAGATAGACGGAGAGAGAGGAATGGGCAGAGAGGGGGAGAGGAGAGACAGATGGGGAGAGAGAGGAAAACATGTGATGGAAGATGGATAGCGATGACTAGAGGGGGTCATTATCTATCTGCAGAAAAATAAAATGCCTATGTCTGTATGGTTGTCACTTGTTCCTTCTTTCCTAATTTCTGCTTCCCCCCTTCGCAGTGTGACCCCGGGCAGGCCACACGACACCTGTATGAGCTGCTCTACAATGACCCCATTAAGATCATGTTGATGCCAGGGTGCAGCAGTGTGTCCACGCTGGTGGCGGAAGCGGCTCGCATGTGGAACCTCATTGTGGTAAGCGGGATCTTCTGGCCAGCAATGTGTGCCTCAAGTTGTTTCTGCTTTTCCCTTATTTTCAACTCCTTCCTTTAATGACACCTTCCGTTTCCTGTTATGTGAGAAATCTGCCTTTATATTCACTAGATTGTCCGCCGCTCACTTACCCCCAGTCTAGAACCGCTTTGTACTCCACCACCTACCTTTTACTGTCCTTCCCCTAGTTTATATTTATCAACTGCAGCTCTCGTGGATTGTTCTCTTCTGTCTCTGTCTTATTAGTAGGTGATACTTGTATTTCTTTGCTGGTGTTGTCTTCCAGTTTCTGTGATTTTACATCCTTTGCAACTTTTCTTTCTTTGATGTATTTCTTTCCCCTGAAGTTTTCTTCAACCCTTTTCTTCTTTTTGTACTCCTCCCTTTCTCCCCTCACTTACTTTTTTTTTGTTTTTCTCTCCTGTGTTCTCTGTATTCTTCATTTTGTTCCTTCCTTCTGCTCCTTCATGTTCTTATTCCCTCTTCTCTTCCTCCTTCATTATCTCTTCTTCCTCAATTCTTTTCTTCCTCCTGTGTTCTGTTTTTCATCCCTTCTTCTGTTCCTCCTGTATTATCTGTTCTTCCCCTCTTCTCTTCCTCCTGTATTCTGCTCTTCATCCTCACTTCTCTTCCTCCTGCATTCTGTTCTTCATCCCTTCTTCTCTTCCTCCTGTATTCTGTTCTTCATCCCTTCTTCTCTTCCTCCTGTATTCTGTTCTTCATCCGTTCTTCTCTTCCTCCTGTATTCTGCTCTTCATCCCTTCTTCTCTTCCTCCTGTATTCTGTTCTTCATCCCTTCCTCCTGTATTCTGTTCTTCATCCCTTCTTCTCTTCCTCCTGTATTCTGCTCTTCATCCCTTCTTCTCTTCCTCCTGTATTCTGTTCTTCATCCTTTTTCTTCTCTTTCTGTATTCTTCCTCCCTGTCTTTCTGTATTTGTTCTTCATCCCTTCTTCTCTTCCTCCTGTATTCTTTTCTTCATCCCTTCTTCTCTTCCTCCTGTATTCTGCTCTTCATCCCTTCTTCTCTTCCTCCTGTATTCTGTTCTTCATCCCTTCTTCTCTTCCTCCTGTTTTCTCTCTTGTTCCTCACTTCTCCCCACCATTTGAAATCTCTGTTCTATATCATCTCTCCTCTTTGTTTCCTCTTTTCCTCCTGCATTCTCTCTACTTTCTCACCTCTTCTCCTACTCCTCCATTCTTTCTTCCTCCTGATCTCTTTCCTTCGGAATTCTCCATTCTTCTATGCCTCCTCTCTTCCTCTTGTATTTTCTTATCTTTCCGCTCTTCTCTTTATTCTGTATTCTCTGTTCTTCCTTTTCTCTTGCGTTCCTTCTTTTTCTTCTCTTCTTATCCTTACACATTCTCTGTTCTTCCTCTTCTCTTCTTCCTGCATTTGCTATACATTCTCTTCTCTCCTGACGTATTCTCTGTTCTTCCTCTTTTCTTCTTCCTGCATTCCCAGTTTGTCCTTTTCTCTCCCTCCTGTATTCTCTGTTCTTTCTCTTCTTCTTGCATTCTCTGTTCTCCTTTTTCTTTCCTATTGTATTCTCTGTTCTTCCTCTTTTTTTTTCGCCCATATTTTTTTTTATCTTCCTTTCATTCTACATTTCCTCTCCTGTCCTCTCTTCTCCTGTCCTCTCTTGTCCTCTCCTGTCCTCTTTTCTCCTCTCCTGTCCTGTCCTCTCCTGTCCTCTTCTTTTCTCTTCTCTTCTTGTTGTTGTTCTTTACCTCTTCTCTTCCTATTTCAGTCTCTTCTCTTCCTCATCTCTTCTTTTCCTCCTATATTTTCTCTTCATTCTTGCCTCTTCTCTTCTCTTCTTGTTCTTCTTCACCTCTTCTCTTCCTCTTTCAGTCTCTTCACTTCCTCATCTCTTCTTTTCCTCCTATATTTTTCTTCATCCTTGCCTCTTCTCCTTCTCTTCTCTTCTCTTCTCTTCTCTTCTTGTTCTTCTTCACCTCTTCTCTTCCTCATCTCTTCTTTTCCTCCTATATTTTCTCTTCATTCTTGCCTCTTCTCTTCTCTTCTTTTCTTCTTCACCTCTTCTCTTCCTCTTTCAGTCTCTTCTCTTCCTCATCTCTTCTTTTCCTTTCCTATATTTTCTCTTCATCCTTTGCCTCTTCTTCTCTTCTCTTCTCTTCTTGTTCTTCTTTCACATCCTCTCTTCCTCTTTCAGTCTCTTGTCTTCCTAATCTCTTCTTCCCTCCTATAGTCTCTCTTCATCCTTGCCTCTTCTCTTCTTCCTGCATGCTGCCTTAATTTTCTTCTCTTCTGTCTCTCCTGAATTCTCTCTTCTTCCTCATCTCTTCATTCTACATTCTCTGTTCTTCCTTTTCATTCCTCTTGTATTCTCTGTTCTTCCTCTTCTCTTCCTCCCATATTTTTTCTGTCTTCCTTTCATTCTACATTTTCAGTTCTTCCTTTTCTCTTGCACTTGCATTTCCTCTTCTCTTTCAGTCTCTTCTCTTTCATCTTTTTTTTTCCTCCTATATTCTCTCTTCATCCTTGCCTCTTCTCTTTCTGCATTCCTTAATTTTCTTCTCTTCTGTCTCTCTTGAATCCTCTCTTCTTCCTCATCTCTTCGTTCTACATTCTCTGTTCTTCCTCACCCTTTCTGTGTTCCTGCTTTTCTGTACTTCTTTTATTCGCCTGAATTCTGTACATTTCCTGCTCTCTTTTCTCTTGTCTGAGTTCTCTGACATTTTTCTCCTTCCTGAGATTTCTGTGTTCTTCTTTGACACTACCCTGTCTCCTTTCGTCTTCATTGTGTTCTCCCTCTATGTGTCCATTTCTTTTCTCCACCTTCCTTCTCTCTCATTCCTGCATTTCCCTTCTTTCTTCATTCCTTTCTCCCTAATGCATTTTTTTCTTCCCTCTTCATTCATCTTTTCTTTCTGTATTTTCTCCTCTCTTTTCACTTTTCCATTCATCCTGCATTCCTCTTTTTCCTCCATTTTTCTCTTACTCATATATTCTCAATTTTTTTTTCTTCGCTCCACTTTTCCTCGTTTCCTTTGTCCTCTTCTTCTAACTTCTAAGGCCTCACGTACACATGAACTTCCCTAGACATATAGCTCTCCTGGCAGCAGAAAAACACTAAACACGGAAAAAACATGCGTAATTGCGGTACCGTGTTTACCCACGTTTAGCACTTAGATGTTTTTTCAATTGATTGGCCTGAGTATTTTCCATTGACGTGAATAAATGCTCAAGCTCTAAACACGTTTAGCATTTTTTGGCCAAAAGGTTCCTCTCCTGAACGTGATTCTTCTGTGTTCAGGAGAGGAACATTTAACTGCCCCTAAACTTTGCTGCTCCTAAACTCTGGTAAAGCCTACGTCTACATGGACACATAGGCTTTTATTGCGTTGAGTTCAGGGGCTTTGACAATAAAATGCCAAAAAGCTCTTAAACTTGGGAGCAGCAGCATACATGAGGCCTGATGTCTTCCTTTAGATCTTAGATTTCTTGTATTAGTCTCAGGGCTTCATGTACACGGGATGTTTGGAAAACACTTCTGCACGACGGAAACTGACTGCTGGATGTTAAAAAATGTTTGTTTAGCCACGTTTGCATACCGCGTTTATGCACATTTGCATTTAGAAGCATTTTTTTGGAGATAACATCAGGAGACCTTCCAAAATGCCCAGAATGCACTGAAAAACAGTAAAAAATTAACTAGTTCAGACAGACATTTAGAGAGAGCAGAAGCAGAGAGAGCAGTATGTGTTGAGATATATACATGATTTTGCAGTTCAGGGTAGGTGGGTGCGATGCTATTCACGGCCTCGGCTGTCAATCACAGGATCCCGGACGTTGATTACTCGCTGGCACCCGGTAAACGCTGAGTATTACCGACGGGGGAGAGACCTGTATGTAAACAATACAGATCTCTCCACTGTCAGCTCCTGTACACTGCTTTGTATGGCTCTGCATAGCACAGCCATACAAAGCAGCGTGCTTACAGTGAAACACAAACACACACAGCCATGATCCCCTATTGCCGGGGGACCCATGAGTTTTCAGTCCGCCCCTGCTCCTGTCTAAATTGTCCTAGTTTCATCCCTGGCCATGCGGGATCTCCTGCATAGTAGAGGTTGGGGAAAGACCTGGCAACCTACCCTGTAAAATAATTGCTAAGAGAATTAATGGAAAAAGTCGCTTGCGAGTGACAGTCCATGCAATCACCAAGGGTCAGATACGACTGAATAGATCGATCGATCGATCGATAGATAGATAGATAGATAGATATAGGAAGGATAGATAGATAGATAGATAGATAGATAGATAGATAGATAGATATGGAAGGATAGATAGATAGATAGATAGATAGATAGATAGATAGATAGATATAGGATAGATAGATAGATAGATAGATAGATAGATAGATAGATAGATAGAGATAGATAGATAGATATGGATAGATAGAAAAAAACAGATAGGTTGTGACCAGGGGCGGACTGACCATAGATAGATAGCACTTGGGCACTGCCTAAGGCCTGGGGTCAGTAGGGGGCCCCATAAGATGCCCCTGGCACCTTTCATAGGCTTTTTTTGGGTGTGGTTTGAGTGTGGGCGAGGACACAGGGGCCCCAGGATCCCCTACAGTCCAGGGGCCCCATGAGTTGTCAGACCCGCCCCTGGTTTGACAGTTTTTGGATTCTGTTCTTGTTTATCGGCATGGTTAGCTGCCAGGTGGCCCAAGGATGCTGAGGGTTCCCGTAAGAGGCAGACTCCCAAAAGCATCAACCTCAACTTTAAGTCATGACTTTCTATAGGAGGCAATTTTGGGGTATTTTTTATAAATCAAACATTTTTAATATTTAAAAAAAGAATAATAATAATAATAATAATAAATCAAGGGGTTTGCTCCTCCAGGAAGAAGCATGGGCAGGAATTTTCAGATTGAACCTTTAGGCTCCGATTGCCGAGTGTTCATCCAAATCCTCAGACGTGGTATTACCACGTAAATACAGAGCCATTTATCAAACCTGTATACAGCTCTTTCCAGCTGATTAGGTCACATCAGTATGATTTGCAGTCATGGGGCTTCTGTGATGTATTGCTTACTGAAGACCTGAAAGATGCTTTTAATGTACTTACAGTAAGAAAAAAATATGTAGAGCCAAAGGTACAACTTGCATGAAGGTAAATGGCACTGAGTCTCTTTAAAGCCGAACCCCAGGAAGAGAGAAAATAAACGCATTAATTGCAGCTCTGTATTCATCAAGCTCTCGCCCCCCTGAGGATTCCCCCCCCCCCTTCCTGACCAGGCCATTTTTTTGCGATACGGCGCAGCGTTACTTTAACTGACAATTGCACGGTCATGCAACGCTCCACCCAAATGAAATTAACATCCTTTTTTCCCACAAATTGAGCTTTCTTTCGGTGGTATTTGATCCCCTGTGCGATCAAATTTTTTTTTCATTTTTTGCGCTAGAAGTAAAAATAAGACCGACAACTTTGAGAAAAAAGCAATATTTTTAACTTTTTGCTATAAAAACATGTCCAGTAAAAAAATGTAAAAAATCATAAATTTAGGTCAAAATGTATTCTGCTCCATGTCTTTGCTAAAAAAAATCCCAATACGTGTAAATCAATTGGTTTACGTGAAAGTTATAGCGTCTACGAATGGCGGTATAGATACTGGAATTTTTTTTTTTTTTTTTACTAATAATGGCGGCGATCAGCAACTTATTGCAGGACTGCAGCAGACATTCTGACACTGGGGGGGAACTGACTTGGTGTCACTGACATTCCCAGTGACACCAATACAGTGATCAGGGCTAATAAAAAGCACTGACACTGTACTAATGGCATTGGGCAGGAAGGGGTTTAAATGTGGGGCGATCAAAGGGTTAACTGTGTGCTGTTTCACATTATGTGCTGTGTGCAGGAGCGGACTGACCATTTGGAAACTCGGGCACTGCCCGAGGGCCTGGGGTCAGTAGGGGGCCCCATTAGATGCTCCTGGTACCTTTTTCATAGGCTTTTTTGAGTGTGGGCAAGGACACAGGGGCTCCATGATCCCCTATTTCCCGGGGGCCCATTGAGTTGTCAGTCCGCCCCTGGCTGTGTGTGTTTGTGTTTCACTGTAAGCACACTGCTTTGTATGGCTGTGCTATGCAGAGCCATACAAAGCAGTGTACAGGAAAGTGGAGAGATCTGTATTGTTTACATACAGGTCTCTCCCCCGTCGGTAATACTCAGCGATCACCGGGTGCCAGTGAGTAATCAACGGCCAGGATCCTGTGATTGACAGCTGAGGCTGCAAATGGCAGCTCACCCCCCCTACCCCGAACTGCAAAATCACGTATATATACGTGATTTTGCGCACCTGTGCCGCCCTGTAGCAGTATATCTTCTATAGGGCGGCGCCGAACTGGTTAATAAATCATACATATTTTTTTAAAGTGGTTGTAAACCCTCTCATATACCCAGCAAAGGGACTGTCCTCAGGTGATACACAGAGATGAGGCAAAGCCTCCTACATAAGTTGTACCTGTTTATCTGTATCCCTCTCTTCTCTGCATCCCTTCAAAGTCCAAATTTACACAACTTTTTCTGAGCTTCAGAAGTCAGGGGGGGGCGGGGGATCTAATGTCATACACTGCACAGGATAGAGCAGGGAGCTGAGTGTAGTTTGAGACTTGAGTGGAGGGAATGGACACACCCCTTCTACAAGTGTCAATCACCTGCTGTATGCTTGTGGGGCATCTCCTGGGATTGTCTGGTGTTGGCATAACCTATCAAAAGTGACTCATGCAGAGAAAGGAGAGAGCAGACAGAAATCACACTAAGTGCGTTAGATAGAGGCAAGTACACACTATAAACAGATATACTTTGTTCATTTTTCATCTGAGAAGTTTACAACCACTTCGAGTATAATGAATGAAAATGCCTGATTTTGACTTTGTGTCAGCATGTTGCAGTTCCCTCTACAGCAGCACCAAGGAGCTGGAGGGCAGGGCTGCAAGTCATTTGCTTTGACAAGACACATGCTGATAGGAGGAGAGAGCAGAGTAAACAGAGAGATGATGTCATCAATCTGCCTCTTCATTGTCCAGTCAGTAGGTTGGGGGGTGGAGAGAGGACATCAGTGTATTTCCTAACCATAATAGGAATTATACCCCCTGATGCTTTCAGTGAGTGTAGCCCCCGCCAAACAGACCCTATTCAAATGAAAAGGGCTGCCTTGCCAGCATCCTGCAACTACATGTAATGCATGCAGTTGCGGCGCGCGCTAGTGTGGGATTCAAAGGATCAAAGCAGATGGTGAGGAGGTGATGGAATGCCTCCTCCCTGCCTGTTAAATGCTCTCTGAAGAGCAATCTGAGTGTGTATCGCTCTTCAGAGACTAAAGCAAGTGTAAACGAGCCCATCATCTGTTTCATTTTTCTAAACTGTCAATCTTGCCTTAGTCTCACACCATTTCTGTTTTCACCTTTCAGCTTTCTTACGGTTCAAGCTCACCTGCATTGTCCAACCGCCAGAGGTTTCCAACCTTCTTCCGCACGCACCCCTCAGCTACCTTACACAACCCCACCAGGGTCCAGCTTTTCAAAAAGTGGGGATGGACGAAGATCGCCACCATACAGCAGACAACTGAGGTCTTCACATCTGTGAGTGTTTGGAGGGGAAAGATGGTTATCCAAAGGGGGGGGGGGGGGTGTGTGATTTACTAAAACCAGAGCACACAGAATCTGGTGCTGCTCTGCATGGTAGCCAATCAGCTTCCAGATTTTACACCCCGGTCACACCGATCTGACTTTGAAATCATGTGACTTCCAGTGAAGTTGCACGATTGCAATGTCTATGCAATCTTTAACCCCCCTGGCGGTATTCCTGAGTGTAGCTCGGGGTAAATTTTCAGTACCAGAAGCGGTAAACCCGAGCTACACTCAGGAATACCCTGCAGCGTTGCTCCGGGATCCCTCCTGCACTTACCTTGTCCTGCGCTCCCGCGATGTCCCCCCTGCAGCGTCCCCGGCCATCTCCTCCGGCCAATGCCGGCATCCAGCTTCCGGGTTCCGTTCCCTGTGAGCGTCGGGACGTACGGGGGACGGAACTGGCAAGAAATTCTAAATTTTTAAAAGTGACATTCACTAAAATTACTAAAATCACATAGTATAACATTCCTGTATCAAATCATTTCACATACATTTTGTCCCGAGTGCATTGTCCGGCGCCCTGCCTGCATTTTTACCGCACTTTCTGCCTGGAAACTATGAAACATCCATGGCGTCCAAAAAGCGTCCCTTTAGGTCAAAAGCGGTTTTAGACCGGCTAGAGAACAGCGATAGTAAATCAGAACCACTTGCAGAATTGAGTGATAATGATTCGTGGGGGAAATTCCTCATCAGACACTGAAAACGATTCTGCGACTTTGCTCAGCGATGTGCGAACTTGGCGCTATATTTCACATTTCAGTGTTTTTGGTTTGATTATATTATTGAATTACATTTATTATTATTTTATTATTATTTTTTATGATTATTTATTAAATTATAATTTATGATTTCGTGTTTCAAATTTTATCATACCCGGGATGTTTACTAGACTCTTGTTCCAGATTTCAGTGAGTTATTCCTAAAATTACAGGCCTACAATAAAAAAAATACATATTTCCATGTAAAAATATGTACCGCTTTGAGCACAGAAATATGGACATAATCAGACCGCTAGGGAGGTTAACTGTATTCCCCTCGCACAAGAGTTGGTTCTGGCCAGCTCAGTAGATTGCTTTGAAAAGGTCCTGGATTGTTTCTTGGATACACAGAATATAACTGGATACTAACATTTATAGGTAAAGTCAGGGGCGGACTGACAACTCATGGGGCCCCCGGGCAATAGGGGATCATGGGGCCCCTGTGTCCTTGCCCAAACTCAAAAAAGCCTATGAAAAAGGTACCAGGGACATCTGATGGGGCCCCCTACTGACCCCGGGCCCTCGGGCAGTGTCCGAGTTTCCAAATGGTCAGTCCGCCCCTGGGTAAAGTTGATCCAGGAAATATCCAATTGCCACTCTCGGGGGATCAGGAAGGAATTTTTTTCCCCTGCAGAGCAAATGGATCATGCTTTGCTGGGTTGTTTTTGCCTTTCTCTGGATCAACTGTGGGTATAGGATTATAACTTTTTTATTTTTTAATGGTTGAACTGGATGGACTTTTGTCTTTTTTCAGCCAGACTAACTATGTAACATTCCTGGAAGTACGGCTCATCAATGGCGAGTGCTGTAATGACTACCAGCTGGGACTGGAAACATCATAAGCAAACGCACATATTCGCCAGCACACCACGGATCTCCAATATGGTCCTAAAAAAGGGGACTCTATCACATGGCTGATGAAGGGGTCCTGCGCGGATCCGAAACGTTGCACTTTCTTTTGTGATGTTTTTCTTTCTTTTTGTTTTTTTTGCAATAAAAACCTTTTTTGGACCATATTGGAGATCCGTGGTGTGCTGGCGAATATGTACGTTTACAGATGTCTATGCAAGTCGCACCTAATGTAGTGTATGCACTACTTTAGAAATCGGTGCGGCTCCGACCAAGTCGGAATCGCATCGATATGACTGCTGTGATTGTGGAAGATAGGGTGCGACTTACCGTGCGATTTGCAAGTCGCATGGCATGGCAAATCACAAGGCAAGTTGCACTCAGTGTGACCGGGGGGTCTTATTGTCAAAGTGTTACTAAACCCACAACAGTACAATCAGTCTGTATATGCAGAAAAGCATGCTTGTTATACTCACTGTGGGACCTAAGGGGTTAATCCTCTTCATTGTGTAAAAAGGCTGTTTGATCCTGTCTTCCCTGATCCTCCCCTTCTTCTACTGTCCCCAATCCATCTGGTGATAGAACAGAGCATCAGCTAGCTCTGAGGAAAGGGACTCGTCCCTGAAACTCTCAGCAAGACCGATATCAGCAAGCCGACCACTGACAGTCAGACACCCTGCCATTGTTTTGGCCATCTCTACCGTCTTACAAAGCTTTACATGCATGCTATGTTTGTGAATATGTTTTCATCGAATGTACAACATACACTATATTGCCAAAAGTATTGGTTGGCCTGCCTTTCCACGCACATGAAGTTTAATGGCATCCCAGTCTTAGTCCGTAGGGTTCAATATTGAGTTGGCCCCCGCCCTTTCCCCACACACATGACCTGTAATGGCCCCCAGTCTTAGTCCGTAGGGTTCAATATTGAGTTGGCCCCGCCCTTTGCAGCTATAACAGCTTCAACTCTTCTGGGAAGGCCGTCCACAAGGTTTAGGAGGGTGTCTATGGGAAGGTTGGACCATTCTTTCAGAAGCACATTTGTCAGGTCAGGAACTGATGTCGGGGGAGGAGGCCTGGCTCGCAGTCTCTGCTCTAATTCATCCCAACGGTGTTCTATGGGGTTGAGGTCAGGACTCTGTGCAGGCCAGTCATGTTCCTCCACCCCAAACTGGCTCCTCCATGTCTTTATGGACCTTGCTTTATGCACTATTGGGCAGTCATGTTGGAACAGGAAGGGGACATCCCCAAACTCTTCCCACAAAGTTGGGAGCATGAAATTGTCCAAAATGTCTTGGCATGCTGATGCCTTAAAGCTTAGCTTACACTAGCTTTGAAAGCAGACATTTGAGGGGCGTTTTTAATGCTCCTCAAATGCCTATGGCAATGATACTATGGACAGCACACAGTGCTCTTCACATTGAAGCCTCATGTCACATCAGGAGGAGTTGAAGCCTTTCAACACCTCCAATGCAGTCTATGGTGATGATGCTCAGCAGGCATTTATGGGGCATTTGCGGGGCGTTAATGCCGTTAGAGTTTATTATATGCATTTGTAGTGCGGGTTTAATGCTTGTATAACACCTATAAAATGCCTCAAAACTGTGCATAGGGCATTTGAGGAGCGTTTTTAATGCTTGCAGAAAGCCCATACTTAAAGCTCATTAATGTTTGTCTAACACTATAGGGGCGTTTTTTCAGAGTTAGAAATTTAGTCAAGTGTGAACAAGCCCTTAGAGTCCCCTTCACTGGAACTAGGGGGCCAAGCCAAACCCCTGGAAAACACCCCCACACCATAATACCCCCTCCACCAAACTTTACACTTGGCACAATGCAGTCAGGCAAATACCGTTCTCCTGGCAACCACCAAACCAAGACATGTCCATCGGATTGCCAGACAGAGAAGCGTGATTGGTCACTCCAGAGAACACCTCTCCACGGCTCTAGAGTCCAGTGGTGGCGTGCTTTACATCACAACATCTGAAGCTTTGCATTGCACTTGGTGATGTAAGGCTTGGATGCAGCTGCTCGGCCATGGAAACCCATTCCATGAAGCTCTCTACTAATCTGAAGGCCACACCAAGTTTGGAGGTCTTTAGCTATTGACTGTTGGCGACTTCTGCGCACTGTGCGCTTCAGCATGCGCTGACTCCGCTCTGTCATGTGACGTGGCCTACCACTTGGTGGCTGAGTTGCTGTTGTTCCCAGTTGCTTCCACTTTGTTATAATCTCACTAACAGTTGAGCGTGGAATATTTAGTAGCCAGGAAATGTCACGGATGGACTTATTGCACAGGTGGCCACCTATCACGGGACCACGCTTGGAGTCACTGAGCTCCTGAGAGCGACCCATTCTTTCACCAATGTTTGTAGAAGCAGTCTGCATGCCTAGGTGATGATTTTATACACTTGTGTCCATGGAGGTGATTGGAACATCTGAATCCAATGATTTGGGGCTGGCCCAATACTTTTGGCAAGATAGTGTATATGTAAAGCGCTGCATAAATTAAGTACCTGCAATAAATAAAATAAATAACTTAGGTTTGTTTCTAGATACAATGGTAGGTAACCACTCTGGGTCCTAATAACACGTATTGTACTCAGTAATGTCCCTATGTCAGCAGGAAGGTCTCTTTCAAGTTACAGATACAACATGACGATGCTCCTCCACTGGGGCAGCATAAAGGAAAGAGGCCAACAGCCTTGAATGAGGATCCCAGCTGGGTTTTGAGGGCCGTGGGCCCAGATTTTGGTTACTGGTTCTGCCTCTGTTCTTGGAGGGATGAGAGAATGAAATATTCATTAAAAGAAATCTGTGCTAAGAAAACTAGGGAAGCTGGCATTGCTGGCCTACTTCTTTATATGTTAAAGCACCAATATTCTACGAGTCACTATCAAACCATAGCTTCTTTTCTGGATACTTGTCCTCTGTTACTCGAACGTGGCCTTTGGATAAGTTTTACTGTCAGGCAGCTAGCATTTTTAGAAGGGGGTCACAATGGAATCTTTCTATCTCTCTGCAGCTAACGCTTAAATCCAAATTTAAACTGACATGGCAAGCAATAAATACACTTTAAAACATGCCCTCACTGACTTCTTTAGCTGCAGACACCGAGGAGTAATTCATCCTAAAAATTCACAAGGGAAGCAGTGAGAGACGTCTCAGCAGTTTGCTCTCCCCCCCTCCCCCTATGCACCTACTCTGTGTTCACAGAAGGATGCCAAGGCAGGTTTTGACGGGAGGGGAACAGGGGGAGCTGAGCTGCTGAAATCAATGTGAAAGTGATGTAAAATTGAGGCTCAATTACTCCACAGTGTCTGTTGCTACAAGGGTCAGTGAGGACTTGCTTTTAAAGCTCATTTACTTCTGTAACTATTAATTGTATTTAGTAAAAAATCAGCCACACTCAGTGTCAGGGCTCCAGGTATGACCAGAGGTGTGTGGACTGACACAGGGAAACGCAGGCTTCGGATATGGTATAAAACAATATGATTTATTAAGACTAACAATACAAAACACAGTGCAAAACTAAACATAATACAGTGCAAACAAACCAAACCAAACCACCTACAGATAACAATACATACAATGCAAGAGTCGTCAGGCAGGCCGGGTCAGTAGCAAACGGCAAACGGAGTACCAGGAACAGGAGGGAGAGTGGTCGGGGTCACAAGCTGGGTTCAGTAACTCACGGGCAGCGCGGTGCAGAGGGTCAGGCAGAGAATGGTCAGGGTAACAAGCCAGGGATCAAACAGGAGAGGTCAGGATCAGGCAGGGTCGGCAACAAGTCAGGCAGAAACAGGAACAGGAACACAGGATACAAGATACAGGGGCCCATGGAAAAAACACACACCAAGGCCCTGACTGTGAGTCTGGCCATTCCTTAAATACAACCCCTGCAATCAGCTTCAGGTGTTTGGCTGATTGCAGCGGTGACTCTCTGATTGCTGAAAGCACCCGCTGGCCAGCCCTAGTACTGCAGCCCACAAGGCAGGTGAGTCCCACCATTATTGGCAAGTCCATTCCTGACACTCAGGTTGGCTGTTCTTGCAGTATTTTTAATAATCAGTGCATTGGCTGCATACAATGATGTCTTCAACCCAAAACCAGCCTTCTTTGACGCATTTCACCACTCCTAGCTTGCTTACAAGGATAGGGGGAAGTGTGTGTTTCTATTAAATGTATTTATTATTTGGTATGATTAAATGTATTTATGATTACGCAGCACTTTACATCTTTTACATCCACATTAGCATCTACCCTCAAGGAGCTTACAATCCAAGGTCGTTATCTCATATGCATAAACATACTAGGGCCAAAACAGACAGGCATCCATTAATCTACCAGCATGTCTTTGTAGTATGGGTGGAAACTGGAGTACCCTGTACTCTGTAGTGCCCCCGAAAACGTAAAAGCAGTTCTCTGCAAAAGAAGAGATAGTATATAGTATACTTACCTATCTGGTGGCCCGTATCTCCATTCCATCTCTGCAGCCTTTGTCAGACTCTATAGCAGCCTTTCTCAACCTTTTCAACACAGCCCTTGAAATAACTTTCTGGTCTCAGGGAACTGCTGCTAAAATATATATCTGCAACTCATGATACATTAATTTGATGGCCAGTGTGAAGAATGTTCCCTACAATTCTGGTCATTGGCAAGAATTACCCCCTTAGAGGTAGCTAAAAGGATCAATGGTGTCAGTGGGAGCCTATCTGAGAGACAGATCATTGATCATTACCCAAGGAACTCCTAGAAACCTCTGGAGGAACCTTGGTTAAGAAACCCTGCTTTACGGCATTCTATGCCCCTGGAAGAGACAGATTATTATTATTATTATTACATCGAGTTTATATAGCGCCAAAGGGTTTGCTCAGCGCTGTACAATAGGGGGGGGACAATACATGAAACAGTACAACAATAACATACAACGTACGAGGGGTAAGAGGGCCCTACTCTTTCGAGCTTACAATCTAGGAGGGAGGGGGTAAAGGTACAGTAGGAAGTGGCTGAGGGGAATGAGGGGTGGGAGGAAAGAGGGAGAATAGCCGTTAGGTGAGGGTGGGGTAGGCTTCCCTGAAGAGATGGGTTTTGAGGGAGCGCCTGAATGTGAAGAGGGAAGGCGACAGTCTGATGGATTGGGGCAGTGAGTTCCAGAGGATGGGGAGGACCTGGAGAGTCCTGCAGTCGTGCATGGGAGGAGGAGACCAGGGAGCAGGATAGAAGGAGGTCCAGTGAGGAGCGAAGGGTACGGGTTAGGGCGGTACTTGGGGATCAGGTTGGTGAGGTAGTCAGGGGCAGTGTTGTGAACGGCTTTGTAGGTCAGGGTTAGAAGTTTAAATTTGATGCGTTGGGCAATCGGGAGCCAGTGGAGGGAGAGGCAGAGGGGGGTGGCAGAGGTGGAGCGGGTGGTGAGGTGGATGAGTCTAGCCGCTGAGTTCAGGATGCCTGTGGCCCCCGATATGATTCCATCCTTCTCTACCAGTACATTACTAAAGGATACAGCAGTCAGGATACTATAGTGAATAGTGAGGGACACAGGTATCCAACACTCCTGGAAGTGTCAAATGCATTTAAAGTTGTAGAGCTTTTATGTAGAGAAGGTAGGAGACATGGGCTACCAGAGAGGTGAGTATACTACCTTTTTCTTTGACAGGGAACTATGTTGGCCAAGTTTTTAGGAGCACTGACAGTTTCTTTAAACCAAAGGAACAGCCTGACCAAAAAAGTGTAGAGACTTATTAAGTTTTCATAGGCCTAGAAGGTCTACTCGTGACTCTATACATTATACAAAGCTTTGGATTTGACATTAAAAAACAATGAAGTGCATTCTGAGGCGGCCCTCCATCCTTGAGCCAGAAACACTGACTCCATCTTCCCAGACCTGATTTCAATCTGCACAGATCTCTGAGGCTTTTCTAAAACAGGTGAGAAGATATTAGAGAAGCTGCAATAATACACAACTCATTATTATCTTAATAACCGGAGCCCTCATCTTCTCAAAAAAATCCCGCAGGTCTCTGTAATTAGACTACAAGTCTCACCTTTCAGGAAAGCTCTTTGTTAATGATCTTCTTTTTTTTTTTTCAGACTCTTGATGATCTAGAGGAACGAGTAAAGGAAGCGGACATTGAGATTACCTTCCGACAGAGTTTTTTCTCTGACCCGACTGTCCCTGTGAAAAATCTTAAGGTGGGTACTCATATCTGGGTTGTCCCAAGGTAGGCCAGCATTGTTATGGATTACAATTCACCGAAGTGCTCTTCTCCTTCCTGAGAGACTCTCCTTGAGTCAATGGCCTGGACCGCTCCTTGAGAATTGACTCTCTATGGGGTTAATAAAGCTCGCTAATTGCCTTCACTCAACCTGATTCCTTTCACGCGTCTTCTTTTCATTCTGGTGTCTTTCTCCTCCTTTCACAGTTCCTCCTTGTTCTTTCCTTCTCTTCATTTTCCTTATCTTTTCCGTTCAGATACCCAATTCTCTATCTCGCCATCTCCGCTACCCGGTCTCTTTCTCTCACCGCTTTTTATCTCTGCCTTTCAGAGACAGGACGCAAGAATAATAGTCGGCTTATTCTATGAGACCGAAGCGCGGAAGGTCTTTTGTGAGGTAAAGTGAAATTGCTGTTACTGCTTTCTCAGAGAAGAGTCTCTCTTTTAGTGTGCCCTTTTCGTCCTCTTTTTTTAAAATGATATTACTGTCGGCTCACACATCTAGAGTTTGTGATTCAGACCTTGTTTTGATCTTTCTGCCTTTGCTTTCTTGTCCTCTTGATCTTGTACTCTTTGTTTTTATTTTTCACTCTTTACTGTTATCTTTACCTTTTGCTTCTTTAAGTTTATCTTTAGCTTTTCCTATTTTTGGTTTCTTTTTATCTTTCTTTCCTTTCCTCCTTTTTTGGATTATTTTTATCTTTCTCTCTTGACAGTATCCTTTTATCTTCCCTTCCATCTTTTTTCTGTCTCTTGTATCTTTCTTTCAGTTTTTTTCTTTATTTTTCCTTCTTTCCTTTCACTTTATTTTTCATTCTTTCAATCTCTCTTCATTTTTTTCTTTCCTTTCTCTTGTATAGTTCATTCTTTCAATTTCTCTTGAGTTTTCCTTCTTTCCTTTATTCTGTTATCTCTCCCTCTCTTTTTCTCATGCTGTTTATCATTCCCTCTTTCCATTTTTCTTTCTCTGCAATTTATCCTTTCCTATTTCCCTTTCCCTCTATATTTTTCCATTTCCATTTCCCTTTTATCTTTTCCTCTTTCCATTTCTCTTTAACTTTCCTCTATCCATTTCTTGTTATCTTTTTTTTTTCTTCTTTTCTTCCTCTTTATTCTTCCCTTTTCCCATTTTCTGTTTTATTTTTCCCTCTCTGCATTTCTTTTTTATTCTTTTCTCTCTATTTCTCTTCACCTTTCCTTTTCTCTTCATCTCTTCCTCTTTTAGTTTCACCGAATTTTACCCTCTTTTCTTTCCTTCCTTCTATTCATCTTTCCCTTTCTCTTACCCTTTTCATTCCTGTTGTTCAGGTTTTTTCTCTTACATCAAGTATCATCGATGTATCTCTCATTCATCCCTCTCCTCTCTCCTATCACTGTCTCTCTTACTATCTTCTCCCTCTCTTCTGTCATTCCCTTTGTCTCTCTTTTCTTTTTCTCTCTCTCTCTTCTCTCCCTCTCCTTTCTCTCCCTCCCTCTCTTCTCTCTCTCTCTCTTTTTCTCTCTTCTCTCTCTTTCCATCTCCTCTCTCTTCCTATATTCTTTCTTTCTGTCTTCTCTTTCACTCTCCTTTTCTCTCCTCTCCTTTTTCTCTCCCTCTCCTTTCTCCCTTCCTTTCTCTCCCTCTCCTTTCTCTCTTCTCTCTCTTTCCATCTCCTCTCTCTTCCTATATTCTTTCTTTCTGTCTTCTCTTTCCCTCTTTGCTCTCTCTCCCTCTCCTTTTTCTCCCTCTCTTCTCTTTTTTTCCTCTCTTCTCTCTCTCACTCCTCTCTCATTGTCTCTCTTCTCTTACCCTTTCTCCCCACCCCTCTCTCCCTCTCTCACTCCTCCTTCCCCCCTCCTTTTTTCTTTCTCTCTTTCCCCTCTCTCTTTCCCATTTTCTCTCTGCGTCTCTTCTCTCTCTTCACTCTCCCTCTCTTCTCTCTCCTCTATCCCACTTTTCTCTTTCTTTCCCTCTCCCCCCTCTCTCCCCCTTTTTCTCTCTCTCCCCCTTTTTTCTCTCTCTCTCCCTCTTCTCTCTCTCTCTCTCCCTCTTCTCTCTCTCTCCCTTTTCTCTCCGCACCTCTTCTCTCTCTTCACTCTCCCTCTCTTCCCCCCCCTCCCCTTCTCCCTCCCCCCCTATCTCTCCCTCTCCCTCCTCTCTCTCCCTCTCCCCCCCTCTCTCTCCCTCTCCCCCCTCTCTCCCCCCCCTCCCCCCCCCTCCCCCCTCCCCCCCTCTCTCTCTCATCTTTCTCCTCTCTCTTTGTCACTCTCTCCATCCATATATTTGTTCTAATACCATCAACTGAATTTTTGCTCACTTTTAGCCCTTCTTGTGACTGTTTTACTCACACAAATTCCCATTCCTAGATAATGGCAGATTTCATGCTGTTCTCCAGGTCTACAAAGAACGTCTCTTTGGTAAGAAGTATGTCTGGTTTTTGATTGGTTGGTACGCTGACAACTGGTTCAAGACACCAGATCCAGCCATCAACTGTACGGCAGACGAGATGACCCAGGCTGTTCAGTACCATGTGACCACAGAGATTGTCATGCTGAACCCAGAAAATACCCGTGGTATCTCCAACATGGTAGGTCTGATGTCTTGTATACTCACCTTCACTTTATTTTTCTTCAGAGCTTTATGTTGCCATTAAGCTGTAACTACTGAATACTTGATGTGTATGTCTTCGACTCTCTAATAGACATCTCAAGAGTTCATGGATAAGCTTCAAAAACGTCTTGGCAAAGCTCCAGAAGGAGTCGGAGGTCTACAAGAAGCTCCCCTGGCCTACGATGCCATCTGGGCTCTTGCCCTGGCCCTCAATAAAACCTCTTATGAGCTGTCCAAGAGAGGGTTGCGTCTCGAAGACTTCAACTATAACAACGATAACATCAGCCGGGAGATCTACAAAGCCATGAATTCCTCTTCCTTCGATGGCGTCTCGGTGAGTCCCCTCCATGCATCATCGCCTTCCTGATTTATTTGGCGGTGTCACTTTTCTATCACCAACTTTCCTCCTCGCTGCTTATCGCTTTTGTTTCATCATGTTGTTATATCTGACTCATCTCTTGCAGCCAGCACAAGAAAAATGTCCTCGTCTTTTGGAAGGCGTCAATGTCTCCCTTTTTTGGAAATGTTATTAGCGCTTAAGAAAAGGGTTTACGAGATTATTACTGATTTACTTGTGTGATAGCCTCCATAATGGCCCGGCACTGCGAAGGGCGACATGAAATGTGCCTTTCGCAATATTGTGTAAATTGTTCATAGCTGATCTCTAGACAAACAGCTAAATACACAGATGGGAGTTGCTTTAACTGCCCTAAGGATTTTTTTTTTTTCTATCCATCCAGTCCTGAGATTTTACACAGCTCTGTCATAAAGCATAGTTTTTTCTGGCAGAAAAGGGGACCTTTCTCTGCTGCAGTTTCATTTTCACTTACGGGTCTCCTCCCCACCCCCACTCTATTACTAGACAGTGAAATGAGAAGTAGCACACTGATAAACTCCTCTGTTTGTCATTATGCTCTCCTGTTATCAGCATGCTCCTTGTACTGATTGGCTCCTTGTGTTGTATCTCCCTCTCCCAGTCTACGCTTTGCTGTACAGGGACTACAAAAGGCTGATACTATGTTAAACTTCAGTGCATATGCTGCTTATATTAAAAATATATTGGTATATTAATGAACACAGAGAGACATTCATTTGTACCATTTCAAAAGAACCCTCAAGCTGAGGCGGACTGACCATTTGGAAACTCGGGTACTGCCCGAGGGCCCCGGGGGGTCAGTAGGGGGCCCCATGAGATGCCCCTGGTACCTTTTTCATAGCGTTTTTTTTTGAGTGTGAGCAAGGACACAGGGGCCCCATAATCCCCTATTGCCTGGGGGCCCCATGAGTTGTCAGTCCGCCCCTGCCCTCAAGTGATTCAGTAGCGCAATATATATATATAACTGAGTGATTAATCAACATAAGTGAAAATGAATAGTCTATAAAATTTCTCTTCCACCAAACAATTCTTCTGATTCCCAAAAAGAAATCATTGCGTGCTCATAAAGAAGGCGGTCCCCCTTTCGGGTATGCATCACCGAATAACCATGCCCCCCATTTTCATGGTTGGCTGGAATCGCTTATTTTATTAATCAGGTGGGAAGGAAGTCGACCAGTATTGATATTGTTTCACTCCCCTCTGTTTATCCTGAAATCTCCATGCCTCTCATTACCCATTATCAGCTCACACCACTTCATAGATTTACAGATTCCTAATAATGAGGAGCTATGCCAATATAGATAACACTCTCCTTCTCCTTAATCTTCTTTCTCAGGGTTAGTGGTCATGAAACAACAAAGTAAAAAATACCCCAATGGTGCAGTACAAAATACACCTTTAATCGCTAAAAGTAGACAGCCACTTACAAAAATTTGGCAAATAAAAAAAATAAATAAAATAAGAGATTCCAGCCAACCATGAGAATGGGGGGCATGGTTATTCGATGAGTGCATACCCAAAAGGGGGACCGCCTTCTTTATGAGCACGTGGTGATTTCTTTTTGGGAATTAGAAGAAATTTGTTTGGTGGAAGAGACATTAATGGACTTTCCATTTTTTGTATGTATTTTCTTTAAAATATATATATATATATACATTTTATTTGCACTACTGAATCACTTGAGGGTTCTTTTGAATTTTCTTTTAATTGATTTTGTTGGAAGTGGCAGCATTGTTTTTTTTAATTTATATTTAATTTCTTTTCCTTTTTTTTTTTTTTTATTGGCTATCACGCATCTAGCGCAAAAGTCTTTTGTTTTCCTATACATTCATTTCTATCTTTTTTATCTGGCTGGAGTTCAGCTTTACACAAAATCTTGAAAGAAATTTTATGAGCACGTGGTGATTTCTGTTTGGGAATAGAGAATTTTTTGGTGGAAGAGACATCTATGGACTTTTCATTTTCACTTATGTTGATTAATCATTTATTCATATAAATATATATATATATATATATATATATATATATATAATATATATATATATATCATACAAAACATTATATATAATATATTTATTAAAAAATTATATATGTATATATATGTAATATATATATATATATACATATTATACTTTTTTTTTTTGCACTACTGAATCACTTGAGGGTTCTTTTGAATTGATTTTGTTTGAAGTTGCAGCATTGTCTTTTGTAAAATTTATATTTTTTATTTTTTTTCCTTTTTTGATTTTTATTGGCTATCACGCATCTAGTGCAAAAGTCTTTTGTTTTCTATACATTCATTTGTATCTTTTTTATCTGGCTGGAGTTCAGCTTTACACAAAATCTTGAAAGAAATTTTATGAGCACGCAGTGATTTCTGTTTGGGAATTAATTGTTTGGTGGAAGAGACATCTATGGACTTTTCATTTCACTTATGTTGATTAATCATTTTTTATATATATATATATATATATATATATATATTTATAATAAATGTATTATATATAATATATTTATATATAATTTTTTTATTTATTAATTTATTTTTGTGCACACACACATAACATATTATATATATTTTATATATATATATATATATATATATATATATATATAATATATATATATACTTTTTTTTTTGCACTTCGGAATCACTTGAGGGTTCTTTTGAATTGGTTTAATTGATTTTGTTGGAAGTGCAGCATTGTTTTTTGTAATTTATATTTTATTTTTTCCTTTTTTGATTTTTTTATTGGCTATCACGCATCTAGTGCAAAAGTCTTTTGTTTTCCTATACATTCATTTGTATCTTTTTATCTGGCAGGAGTTCAGCTTTACACAAAATCTTGAAAGAAATTTTATGAGCACGCAGTGATTTCTGTTTTGGGAATTAGAATTGTTTGGTGGAAGAGACATCTATGGACTTTTCATTTTCACTTATGTTGATTAATCATCATTTTTTATATTTATATATATATATATACATATATAAATTTATATAATATATATATTATATATATATTATTTATATATATATTTATATTATTTATTTATTTTTTTGTGCACACACATAATAAATAATATATATATTTATATATAATATATTTTTTTTTTTTTTGCACTTCGGAATCACTTGAGGGTTCTTTTGAATTGGTTTAATTGATTTTGTTTTGAAGTGGCAGCATTGTTTTTTGTAATTTATATTTTTTTTTTTCCTTTTTTTATTTTTATTGGCTATCACGCATCTAGTGCAAAAGTCTTTTTGTTTTCCTATACATTCATTTGTATCTTTTATATCTGGCAGGAGTTCAGCTTTACACAAAATCTTGAAAGAAATTTTATGAGCACGCAGTGATTCCTGTTTGGGAAGTAGAGTTTTTTGGTGGAAGAGACATCTATGGACTTTTCATTTTCACTTATGTTGATTAATCACTCATTTGTGTATATATATATATATATATATATATATATATATATATATATATATATACACACACACACATAAATTTTTTATATATAGATAGATAGATATATATATATATAGATATATATATATATAATAGTATATATATATATATAAAATTATATTATATATATATTATATTTATATATAATTTATTTATTTTTTTGTGCACACACATAAATATGTATATATATTTTATATATATATGTATATATATTTTATATATAATATATATATATATATATATATATATATATACTTTTTTTTTGCACTTCAGAATCACTTGAGGGTTCTTTTGAATTGGTTTAATTGAATTTGTTTGAAGTGGCAGCATTGTTTTTTTTTGTAATTTATATTTTTATTTTTTCATTTTTTTAATTTTTATTGGCTATCAATCATCTAGCGCAAAAGTCTTTTGTGTTCCTATACATTCATTTGTATCTTTTATATCTAGCTGGAGTTCGGCTTTACACAAAATCTTGAAAGAAATTTGAAAAAAATAAAAAATAAAATTGCAGATAAAAATTAACAAAGTCCATTCAAAAAGCCTAAATATATATATTTTTTTTTTTTTTGCACTACTGAATCACTTGAGGGTTCTTTTGAATTGGTTTAATTGATTTTGTTTGAAGTGGCAGCGTTGTTTTTTTTGTAATTTATATTTTATTTATTAACATTTTTTTATTTTTATTGGCTATCATGCATCTAGCGCAAAAGTCTTTTGTTTTAATATACATTCATTTGTATCTTTTTTATCTGGCTGGAGTTCAGCTTTACACAAAATTTTGAAAGAAATTTGAAAAAATAAAAATAAAATTGGAGATAAAAATTAACAAAGTCCATTCAAAAAGCCTACAACGGTATCTTTATCCGAAGACTGTTTGCTATTTTTCAGGAAGGAATTTTCTGGACTCTGTTCTCATTTGCTCTAGATTTTGATGGAAAGATTGATAGCTTAAAACATACTATCAAAGGATATAGCGAGTAGATATGTGGAATGGGATTTTATAGTAAAAAAAAATATTAATTCATTAAAAAAAATCTATTTTTATTGTAATCTACTGTATCGCAAATGTTCAAAATGACCTATACAAGTGTTAAAATGATAAATGATCATGACAACAAGTTGGGTATAATAGTCTCATATCTGATGCATTTCGAGTTATTTTCTTCTGCAAGGAAACAGAAAATGTACAAAAGCTGAACAAATGGCAGAAACATATCACAGCTAATGCTCAGCAATACTAGAACAATCAGCTTTGACCAACATGTTGTACACTTGCAACCCAAGGGATGACTAGACATTGATGATAAAAACACATGGCACTAAGGGGACGCCCACCTGCTACCATTCGGCAGGCCTAGAGACATCTTGCTTGACAGGATCGCAAATGCCTCTCTTGGAAAAAAACAGGACAAGAATAAACGACAGAACAAAAAAACCCTTTTTTTGTTGATTGTTCCA